CGTCAGGACGCTCTCGATGGTGCAGGAGTAGAAGTTCTTGAGCACCTTCAGTGGCAGATGGAAGATTTTGTACCAAAGTGAAACTTTTTTTTCATTAATAGCTGGTTTCACAGGAGGTCAAGGTGTCAAACAAACAGCTTTAACTGCACAATGACACACTTTAAATCATCTACAGACAAACTTGTGTGTTTAATTTATGAAGAAATAATAATGATGTGTTCTACAGCTGTCCATAAAGTAGCTTCTCACACAAACTTTGACACACCATGACTTTAGTTCATGAAACGCTGAATAATTAAGAGCTGTGACTACTATGAACTGCTTATGGTGACTCCGTTAAGCTCTCAGCTGAAGTTTCATTCATTTATTTTAACATTAATGTCGCCTTTTTAAGTCTGTGTCAGGATTTTTATGACAGACATTAAAGGAGCTTCTTTGATTAGAACCAAATTCATGTTGATTTTTAGCCCTATAATCATAAAACTGGAGACTAATACTAAAAGTATAATATTTAAAAAAAAGCCTTTATTATTTGAGTAATGCCCGAATCTGCTCTGAGAAAGAAATAGCACACAGTTGTTGATGCCATTTTGAGATTAACTGAATTTTTTTCTAAGTGCTCTTATTGTGAAGATCTGCACCCCCCCCCCCTCCCACCAGTTCTGCTTCCGGTGGAATCCCGCCTCCTGCCAGGAAGCAGCTCACCTGTTTTTTCGTGTTTATTGTCCAGGTGTGGAACTTGTTGTTGGTGTGTGTGAAGAAACTGTAAGTTTGCTTTGTTTCCTCCTTTAAAAGTTTGTCTTTAGGAACTTTACTGGTTGTTCAGCTTATGTTTCATTTCCGTTCTCTCCATCAAAGTCAGTGTGTAATGTTTTCCTGGCTAACATCAGCTGTGTGCAGCTTAGTTCCTGCACAAACAGCACAAATCTGCCGCTCCATAGTTCACGGTAACGGACGCACAGCTGGACCAATGAGGCCGAGTGTGTCCGCCACTCTGAGCTACGTTCTTGTTTGTGTACTTATAGTTTGTACTTTGAGTTCACTCAGAGGCTGTGTTCCAATTATGAAAACGGGGACTTTCCGTTCTTAAAATCTCTCCGCCCACATGTAAACGCCAAAAACAAAGTCAAACGCTGCCAAGAACATGCCAAATCCTGACCTTGTAGTAATGTTGGCTTATCGCAAGCTTGGAGGGGGGGGTGTCCTTCTGAAGTTTGCGTTTTTCTGCAAAGGAAGCAAATTTTTACTTTTCAACTGCCTTCAATCTTTCAAATGTGTGTGTGTGCGTGTGTGTGTGTGTGTGTGTGTGTGTGTGTGTGTGAAAACCATAGTTAGTTACATTTTCAGTAACAGGATTTTGTCATTGTAGAAATTCATCTCATTGTGGCGAAGGAGGAGTAACCAGTAAAGCTGACTAAGGAATGCTGACAACACCATCTGGGGAGGGAGTTACCCTCCCCAGATTTCTAAAGCCAATGTGGATCTTATACTAGCTACCAAAGCCCTCAGGCTCGTTATTAACAGCAGAGGTGAGGTTAAAGGCTTCTGAAGATTAGGACTCAGATTGATCCGGAGGAGCGGTGCATCAGTAAAACCACACCACCCTGAAATTTGTGTGTAACAGCTGGTCTGTGCAATGTGCAATAAACACAACATATTATTTACTGCCAGATCATAATAGCAGATGATACCACAATGTAACATGCAGGCATTAATCTAACAGTTTCATTAAAAGCTGCATTTTCACAGATATTTCTCTTTTATTTGTTGTAGATGCAGCAGAGAGAGTGACTTACTATGTGCTGAGAGAAAGGAGATCAATTCAGTTCATTACTGAAGACTAACAAGTGTGCTCGCCTCTAAACACTCAGCGTGAGGACTGAAGGAAGAGTTTTACACTGCACTGTGCTCACAGCTTGTAGCCGATCAACACTCGTTCGAATAACAAATCCCACTTATATAGCTATAGCAAAGCGTCACAGGCATGCATTTAATGCAGTTTGCAGTGTGCCATAAATGTCTAATTCATGAGAAAGAAAGGAAATGACAGTGTTTTTAATCCAAAAGAAAACTGGAGAAATGAGAAGGAGACAGGAGGAGGAGAGAAGAAACAAACACATGTCAGATGTGATCACACTGGGTTAAACAGCACACTTCAGTTTAGGGGAAACACTGTAACATTGCATGTTATGTTACAGTGTCAAGACCATGTGGAAGAAAGAAGACTGATTCAAAACCTCAATTAAAGTGAAACTAGAGTTAAATGCTTTACTTAGAAACAATTCACGAAGTAAAGATCATCAGGTAATGTTAGATTTCTTAGACAAACACATTTATATGATAGCATCTAATCCTGAAGTGACGGTCTGGACCACACTCCATACCAGTTGGTGGCGGTATTGCACCATTCTGTTGTTTGCCAACCGCCAATAACATTTAGAAGAGGAAGAGGAAGAAGAGCAGGAAGAAGAAGAGCAGGAAGAAGAAGAAGAAGAAGAAGAAGAAAAACGTTGGCGGAAAGTTGTTTGTTTCTTGTGGGACGTGATTCTGGTCAAACCCGGATTATCTGCAGTCGCTTTTGTTCCTGCTTCCTAATGGGCTGAAACTTTGTCACATTCGCGGGATGTTGAGTGTTCAGGTCAGTTGTGTGTCTTCCTGACACCACCCTGTTTACCTCGGTATAAGCTTATTGCTCACTTTTCATTTTTCGTTGGTTTTAATTTACGTTTGAAAGTTTGAAGTGCGGGTTAAAAACGGCCCGGTGTGTTCAAGGACGCCGCGGACTCGTGAATACGAGAATCCACCTTTAATATGTTTTTAGACTAAAATGTCGCTGTGTGGACGTCACGTGTCTGTCAACAAGTGCTGCGAATTTAGAAAACACGTCGGTGCAAATTACAAGTCTGCGTCATCATTTTTGTGCGTTTGCTGTCGGGCTGTTAACTCTAACATCACGATTAATGTGATTAGAAGTTTAAGTGAAAGCGTACAGCACATGTTCATAAACTTCCCCCTGTGATCAATAAAACTATTCTCATTCTTACATGTGAGTCCAGGAAGACTGCCATACATACTTTACACAAAGATAAATGTCAAAGTAACAGCAGCTATAATAAACAGGGTTTAATTCACTCTGTAGTCTGCAGACTGTCGTAATACATTTAGACCGGATTCTTTTCCACACTCAGAAACTGCAGATTGTGCCTTAAAACAGCGGCCACGTAGTTATCAGAGTGCGCAGGTGCTCATTCTGAGTGGGCCTGTCTGCAGATGAGGAAAACTGAGAAGATCTACGAGGTTTGTTTTTCCTCCTCTTGATATTTTTGGGCTCTTTTTAAAAATAATGACTGGCTTTGTTATCTTTGTTTAAACTGAGGCAAAAAAGTGATCCGTGTTGCTCTGAAACAAAGAATCCTGGAACCACCTTCACTTTCGCTTTACTAATGTTACTTAAGGTGCTGGAATATCTACAGGTTTATAGATGGCAAAAAATCAGTGGTACAGTTTAACGTCATACTTTTTAGACACATTGCAAATGCAGGGCATACCTACTTTGCTACTTATTTCAGTATAAAATTATTTTCATGCTAAATACTGCATTGCTGTTTTTTGTAGCAGTTCTGTAGCAAGAATATGGCTCCATATGTTTATACACATAAATGAAACTGACATTTTCTAGAAATAAAGTAGACCCATTTAAATATATATATATATATATATATACATACATACATACATACATAC